GCAGGGCTCGAACCTCGGACCATAGGATCCAAAGCACGCCGGTGACAGCGACTAATCCACCGCTACCCAGGACCCAGAGGCGGAAAAGATTAGCCCCACAGTTGGCAAAACCCCGATCAAGAATGAGCTGAGTGTATTGAAGTTTTTGACTAAAAAAGGACGGACCCTGTTCCCACTGATGTGAAATGATTTGTAGCAATAGTACATTGTGTCCGAGATTTTTGTCACATTATGTGAATATCTTATCGAGTAATACGTGTTTACTAACTGAAGTTGTCGAATAGTTTGACCGATTCTGATCGGTCGTGTGCTTGTTGTGCAGTGTGCACCGAATGACTAATGTGATGTTTTTTGGTCGAAAATTGGATCGAAAAAATGAGTTGTCCCCGAATAGTTTTGGCACACATTGTAAGTATGCGATAAAATCAACTGCGTTTTTTCCCTTGCGGATCGACACACACACACCATCTAATATATGAAAGACTGAAAAGGCATCAAGATGGTTTTGTGATCGAACAGGCCGATTGATGATTCATGCAGACCCGGTGTAAATGTACGGGATGCTTACGTGAGTGGTAGCAGGTGACACGGGCTGGCCAAGTCCGGTGGAAACGGAAGGTGGACCGTGGTGCGCATGTATCGGTGCGGCTGATTTAACTGATCGCAATCCCGCGGTGTAATCATCTCTCACAGCCGGAGACGGATCCAGACGATGCTGTACCAGATAGTCTGATTGGCTGTCCGGCCTCGCAGGACTGCCCACACTGGCTAGGGCAGGCACGGACACAATACTGCTAGTGCTACTACTACTCCTACCCTCACCGCAACTGGCACCGGCACCGGAATTAGCTCCTGAGGCGGATGCACCTTGAGCGGACACCGAGTGAGTATGCGTATAGGACCCGGCCGGCGTATGTTCCGAACTTGTTGTAGTGTACGGGGCGTGGGACGGGAACGGTTTGTTCAAGTGATGATGTTGCTGCTGCTCCACAGTGGGCAAGTCTGAGTTGACCACATCCACAGCGACAGGACCGCC